AGGTGGAGGGGGCTGAAGCCCCTTCCTCGCCAGTGGAAATCCCCTCCCCCCCCCCCCGTAGAGGAGGGGGAAGCATGTCAATTGCCTGTATGTTTTCCTTTCTGTGTTTCAAAGCAGCTGGGAAGGATGGGGAATCAAAACAGGGGAAAGCAGAACTCTCCTCCCCGTAACATCATGGACCACATGGAAATCTCCCCCTTCATAGGTGGGTTATGGGAGAGACATTCCCTACAGGCAGTAGGGATGGGCAAAGGCATCATTTTCCATTCTGCCCTTCATCCATTGCACGCAGTGCTGTTTTTGTTGTGCTGCAGTTCGTCTTCTTCCAAAAGCAACATTATTCATTTCACTTTCTTCTGTGATGAAATTATGTAACTTAAGTAAATTATTTTGCCCTTATGTTATTCCAACCTATTTACTTCAATGCAACAGGAATACGATGCAAATGTGGGGGAATGTAATCAATTACCTATCATTGCAGACCGAAGGCATGAACAGTGAATACCAGTCATATTCATTGGATTGAATTCCATTCTGGACATAGGACAAATAAGCAAACATTGCCAATTTTCACTCTTATTTTCATTGAAATTGTTGGGCATCTCTAACTGGCAGATCCCCTTTTTCCAAAGAGAACTATGATAGCTTGCCACAGGTTCAGATGAACCTCCTAGCCAAACCTCCAGGATTTCTGACCCTTTGGGAGGATTTCCAAACCCAACTGATGAGGACCCCTCACTAAAAATATTAAACCATAAAATATACTCCCGCCCCAAAGCCCAGTGTGCACAGAACTTAACAACTCCTTATGAAATAGCTTTAGCTCAGGAAGTTAGCAGAACAACTGTGCTGTCTAGCATGTGGGAGAGGATTTTAGTGAAAAAATCTGGACAGATTTCTTTCAGCTCAATTAAGCCAAATATCAAAGTATACTGAATTTTATTTTGGAAAGGCAGGGGAAGAGGGAGGGAGGCAAAGGGAACACAAAATAAATTGTGCACATAGTGAAACACAAACTCAAAAATCCAGTCTAACTTGGCTAGTTACAGTTAACCTGCTTGCACAGAATATTGGGGTTTCAGAACATGTGCAGAGTTGCACACAGAAAAGATGGCTTGTGAGATTGGAAAGGCATCTTTGATTCCCCATTTGGATGGTTTCAAGAAGACAAAAGCCTCTCAATTCTATGGGACCCTGACACCAGTAAAAATCACCCTCTTAATGGAGATAGCATTTTGGACCAATTCTGAGAGCAGCTCCATCTCTGATGTAAGTGGTCTAGGTAGCCAATAAGAATTTATTTAGAGGTTGTTTCTACCCAGGGAACACTGCAGGGAAGTGCCCTCATTTCTTCTTAGGTCACAGCCCACAAATACAATTGTGTTCTATAGCGCTGTTCCAGAAAAACCTTTCTAGAAAAAAAGATGGAAGCCTATAACAAACCCTATATTATGATGTGTAGACCACATTTGTCATTGCTATGGAACTTCTGAATAAGCATGTATTTGACGTATATTAGAGTTGTAAGGAAGTCCACTACTCATCTCAGAGCTACAATTAGCAGAAAGGTTTAGCAATCAATCCCTCTTCACAGGGAACTCTGGGAACTGCAGCTCTGTGAGGGGAACAGTGTCTCCTCACAACTCTCAGCACTCTTAACAAACGGCTTCCTAGAATTCTTTGGGGGGAAGCATGACTCTTAAAGTGACATAATAGTGCTTCAAATGTCTGGTGTGGATGTGGTTGAGAATCATGCTATTTTCCTGAATATTCCTGCATGTGACTGAATCCCACCCGAAAATAGTGACACCCCCCCCCACCTTGGCCCCCAACCTGCCCAACCTGCTGCTAATCCCATCAGACCACTTTAAAATATTATGTTTCATAACAGACTTGTGAGGAAATGGAGCTTACTTCTCTATAGCTATCCCCAGGAATGATAAATGTGCACCAGAGACAATGAACAAAGGACAAACAGTATCGGTCTTTTTGCAAACCAACATAATTGAGCTCTACAGGGCTGGTGGTATTTCACTGAAAGATGTTGGTGTCCAAATTGGTGGGAGAGAACAAATGAGCAGAGGAAAAGACAGTGGTGGCGGCAGAACCACCCCCCCTTCTTCAGTCCCCCCCCCCCCATGGGGCTACCAGGTTTGTTCTTGTCTTCTATCCTCCTAAGAAAAATATGGAAAGACTGGGAGAAATCAGGGCACTCTTGGTAAACAAGAAAAGGGGCCCCCATATTTTTTTAAATTGGAAATTGCAGAAAAGAGTCCTTCATTTCATTGACAGCCTGATTTTGTTTTCTGCTATGCTTCTGCAGTATGAGAGCAAGGGAACGGAATAAGAAAGTTTCTACCATCCAGGGATTTGGAACCTGCAGTCCTCTAGATATTGTTTGACTAAGCCCACAGTCACCCCATAGGAGCTGGAGTCCAATAACATCTGAGGGCCACCGGCTCCACCAGCCCAGCACTGCACCATGGGTTCCACGTTTGACGTTTGCTCCTGCTCTGGAAAACTGTGAAATGTTTATTTGGCAGCAGGCAGGACACGGGTGGCGCTGTGGGTTAAACCACAGAGCCTAGGACTTACCGATCAGAAGGTCGGCGGTTTGAATCCCCACGACGAGGTGAGCTCCCGTTCCTCGGTCCCTGCTCCTGCCCACCTAGCAGTTCGAAAGCACATCAAAGTGCAAGTTGATAAATAGGTACCGCTCCGGCAGGAAGGTAAACGGCGTTTCCGTGCACTGCTCTGGTTCACCAGAAGCAGCTTAGTTATGCTGGCCACATGACCCGGAAGCTGTATTCCGGCTCCCTCGGCCAATAAAGTGAGATGAACACCGCAACCCCAGAGTCGGTCACGACTGGACCTAATGGGCAGGGGTCCCTTTACCTTTACCTATAGAGTACAGAAACAGGGACCGCAGAGGTGCTGGTGGTGTCATTTTATTTATCTATGTGGCAGTACTTAAGGACTGCTTTTCCAGTGGAACCCAGAAAAGCTGCAGCAGTGCTGGAAAACAGAGAAACCCAGAATTAGTAGGCAAGGAAGCTCCTTTACAGAGCAGGTCACTAAAGGAATTACACAATAGATCAGGGATGGGGAACCTATGGTCTTTCAGATGTTGTTGGACTTCTTAAACAGAGTTGATTTCTTACTAGCTATAGTTATGCAATCTGAATGTGCCGGTTTGTGGTTAAATTCCTCCCTGAAACAGCAACAGTCTGGATGCACCTTGTGTTCTGTTTTGGGTATGTTTCCATCAGGTCAAGACCCCTTATCCAGATGCAGAATAAACTTTTTGTATATGCCACAGCTGTTAATGCCTTGACCTCCCCCCGCTGCAAATCTGAAATGGTTAAAACATTAGGTTTTAACTTACGTTGCCTTGGGTTTACTTCTCACCCTGTTCCGAAATGTCAAACATTAACTGCGACTTCTCATGTATTCTGGAAGCAGTGCAAGGTGAGGTTAATTCCCAAGGTCAAAGCTTGGTGACTTTCCCCACCCTTTTAATTTTCCGTAGTCACGGCATCCTCATTTGAATGATCAGTTTCACCCAACAGGACTTTGCCTAGGAATTTCGAAAGAGTGGAGAGCATAAAGGAGTAATTAAAGCAGTCTGTTTCTCCAGCACGTTCTGTCTGTTTCTTCTTTTCATTATTAGATGTGATGACACATTTGCCTGTGTGGCTTCCTGCAGATGGCACAGAAATTTTGCGATCAACTGGTAAACCAACTGTCATCTCGGATCACAGCTTTTCATATTGTTTCCCCTGTGTAATGGGTCTTTCTTTAATGAAGGCGCCTGTAAATCACGCCCCCCCCGCCCAGTTCTTCAAGTGATACTGTAACAGACTAATAAGCAACGCTAGAAAAATTAAAGTTTATCACATTTAACCGGAAATATTCAGCACAACATGATACCCTGGGCTAGATGAGATGAGCAGAACGCTGTCTTTGGGGGAGAAAGCTCTCAGAGCAGGCAAGGGCCCAGGGCAGTCTCCAGACATTTTGAAGGTGACCAGCTGTCAGGAGCTGGAGTCAAGTGCAGGTCAGCAATAAAACAATAAAGCCTTCGATGGCAGTGAAGTTAACTCTTTATTCAAAGAAACAAAACACTTGTCATTGTCCCACCACCAATCCCCTGGCTCTGAACCTTCTTCCCCCTATCCTCTACATCCAGCCAGTCCATTACATCACCCTCATTGTAGCAAGAGATTTGCACTGCCCACCCCAATTATCCCACAATGCGCCCCCTTCCACACAAACGAGAAGCAGTTGGTGGGACATGGTGGTGGCACATACCTGGCCGTGAGATGGTGGGGAGATTAGCTGCACTGTAAGTAAGAACCCATCCTGTGTTCCTGCTGGCGTCCTTGCAGCATGCTGACCTCGCGCCTCCACCTTCTCTCTCAGTGATGCCAGTGATGGGAGGTCAGGTAAGTGCTACTCTACTGACCATCACTGATACAAATACAGCCATGCTGCAGTGAGACTGACCATGTGTCCTACTTTACAGAGAACAGTCCTCTGTATGAAAGGAGTCTTCTCTTGGAAGGACTGTCCAGTCTGAATCCTGTTTACAGACAAAGAACTCTAAGCAGGGAGGGCAACAGGGGACTGAGAATGGCCTTCTGACAGCTCCTGTCCAGCAGACTCAGCAGGCATAAAGGTGTCTGGTCACAGTCTTCTCCGCTATGGTGAGATGCATTATTTTCTATTCATAATTTCTAAATTTGCACCTATATGTACAGGAAGTGCAGACGTGAGCTAGCTCAAGCCTGATCCCCTTTTCTGCTCTCTTCCACCCTTCATGGCAGCAGTAACAGTGACCAATGGTTAATCTACAAAGCCTTTGTCTCAGGCTTCTCCTTGAGAACTGGAACATGGAAGCTGCCTTAGACGGAGTCAGATCATTGGTCCATCTTGCCCAGTATTGTCAACTCTGGAGCAGCTTTTGGGGGGTTCAGGCAAAGTTCTCTCTCAGTCCAGCCTGGAGATGTCGGGGATTGAACTTGGGACGTTCTGCTCACAAGGCAGATGCTCTACCACCGAGCCGTGACCCCTCACTATGTACATAATTATGTAAGAGAAGCAAATTCCATCCATTCCTGATCAATGTCTGACCAGTCAGACATTTTCCTTGTTATTCCAAGAACAGAGTGGAGCTTGGCAAACTTGTTAAAGCAAGTGATTCATGCTGTGATATAATTCTCCTCCACTCCCCCACCTCTACAAATGATCCAGGGATAGACTCCGCGTTTGACAAATGTGTTTGATATTTAAAATGGCGCTCCCTCCACCCAAGCTGTGTTTCTGCCTTTTGTTTGCCAACTATTCTCTTCAGAAAACTGCACTTTGCAAATGATCGCCTAACACCAGCGACTCTGTTCAAGTCCATTAGCTTTCCTTGTGGCAAGGAGTGTCACCGGTCTCTTGCGTTTGATCCCTCACTGTTTAAATGTTTGTTAAAACACAGGGTGTGAAAGGCCTCAGTAAGAGTTGCCCGCATCTCCCTGTAGTAGCTTGAGTGCCTGGGATTCTTGGGAATGAGAATCAGGATACAGAATAAGCTTAATAATATATAGTGTGGATCTACCCTCAGGGATGTGGGCGGCACAGTAATCGAAACCACTGAGCCTCTTGGGCTTGCCGATCGTAAGGTCGGCAGTTCGAATCTGCGTGACAGGGTGAGCTCCCGTTTCTTCGTCCCAGCTCCTGCCAACCTAGTAATAATAATAATAGTAATAATAATAATAATAATAATAATAATAATAATAATAATTTATTATTTATACCCCTCCCATCTGACTGGGCTTCTCCAGCCACTCTGAGTGGCTTCCAACAAAATATTAAAATACAGTAATGCATCAAACATTAAAAGCTTCCCTAAACAGTTCCCTAGCAGTTCGAAAGCACACCAGTGCAAGTAGATAAATAGGTATCACTGTGGCAGGAAGGAAAATGGTGTTTCCATGTGCTCTTGCATTCATCACTGTGTTCCGTTGCTCCAGAAGCGGTTCAGTCATATTGTTCACATGACCTGGAAAGCTGTCTGCAGACAAACACCGGCTCCCTTGGCCTGAAAGCAGAGATGAGCACAGCACCCCATACTCAAATTCAACTGGACTTAACTATCCAAGGGTCCTTTACCAACTTTTACCTTGCACTCGTGGTTTACAATGTTAAGGAAGGGTTAAGGAATAATTTTCATAACGTAGATGGCATACCCTCCAACATTTCTCCAATGAAAAAAGGAACATCCTAAGGAAAAGTGGGACATTCTGGGATCAAATCAGAAACAGGTACGGCTTCTCCAAATTAGGGACATCCCTGGAAAATATGGGCACTTGGAGAGTCTGAGATGGACACATTATGTTTTGCCTGTAATGTTAATAATTCATTATTAAAAATTGACACCAGAGGATGCTGCAGAGCAACCAGGAACTGGCAACTGGGAAACTGTGTTGTAATGAACCAAACATGGTAAAGAAGGTTTTTAATTTACCATCATGCCCTGTGACATTTTAGAACAATATATCTAATTTCATTCTAATAATGTTTAAAAGGTGTTAAAGTGTGTTTTGGGGTGTGAGGAATTCAAATCTGATATTATTGTTGTGACTGGACAGCATTTAGCTTGGTAAGCCCATGTTTAATGAAGAAGCACATAACCTGCTTTTGGAAAACTAAAGATTTTTAATTTTACCTTCTGAAAATGTCAGGTAATGCTAAATAATAGCAATAATAATAATATAACTGCAAGTACTTGACAAAATTTCTGTGCAATTTTGCAGACATTTTACTTGCAAAGCAAAATTAAATTATATTAATTTAACCAAATTATATTTTGAATTCCCAAGTCATGTTACAACTTTTTAGCACCCCTCATTTTTGCAATTTGAAAGCTGAAAAATTCAGCATGCTCTACTGCTGAAGTAAGAAGATGTGATACACACATACCTTAGTCCACGAAAGCAGAGCAAGATTAAACTCAGGGGTAGGGTGGAAATGTTGCGAAAATTAAATATCCACCCTATAATCTGACACAGTTCTCTTGTTTCTTTAATACGTTGAAATAAACAGTTTGCTCCAAAATCAAATATGTTTCCTTGGGGTCTTGTTAAATAGCTGAATGTAAATTGCAATTGGAACTGACTATTAAAGATCTTGGTGGAGTAGGTTAAACATCTGCTCAATTTATTACAATTTTATTTGTACTTTAGCTGTAACTGGTGCAATTAAGCCAATCAGAGCAAGTGAATCAAATCTAATTTGCTCTCTAATGGAGTAAAAAGGAATGAATAAACACAGTTCTACTAGATCCAAATGATTAAATATGTCTCTGAGGGTCTTCCCTCCTCCCTTCATCTCAGTCTACAAAAATCAGGGCGCTCGTGCTATAATTAACCACTTAGGAGTGAGGCAAACTAGTCTGAACAGAGATTCATTTTTCATAGGTTTTCACAAGGAAGCTAAGCATAGTGCTGGGGATTTAATGAATTGGGTTCTTGTCGGAAAACGGATAAGTTTACGCTTCTTGTAAAATCATTTGCTTGCTATCCAAATTTGTTATGCGACTGGGAAGAAAATGAGGGCTCTGTTAATATAGATTCCATTTTTTAAAAAGGGGAAATTGTGACGATTTTGGGTTTTTTTTCTTCATAACCAAACAATGAAATAACTGGTGACACAATCCTAGGTCCCTCTGCTGAGTTCAGTGGGGAGAACATAGTGGACACACATAGGGCAGCGCTGTAAATTTGGTTCTTTTATAACTACTTCTTTTAGACTATGAATTGGGAACCTGGGGTCTTCCAGATGTTGGTCTACAGCTCCCAAAATCCCTGCTGGCTAGAGCTGATGAGAGAGAGAGTACGAAAACCATCTTGAAGGTACCAGGGCTGCCAACCCTATTTAAGACCGCCACATGGTAAACGGAAATGAGAAACAAACTTGGAATGGTAAAGGGACTGAGTTATAATTCCTCATTCATTACATTTTGCTCTGAGAAAGCGCTTCACTATTTCTCTCTACTTTCCCACATCCCTGTAAGAAAAATAAAATCAGACATTGCGTAAGTGCGTGTATTAGTTTGGCTCTCAGGGAGAAGTCTAGGCTCAGCCTTTCCCTCTGAGATGATCGCTATGTGCGGAAATTATTTTTTATATGGTTGTTGTATGTTCAGGTTATTTATGTCTTCATGTAAATGGTTTGCATTCCGCCGACAGCTGGCTCAGCCATTCGGTAGAGTGGGGCAGCTGCCTCAGGTAGCTGATTTAGGGGGCCTGAAAGGACAGAAAGCTAATAGCTATTTAATTTAATATTATTATTATTGTAATGTTTACTTCTAAGGAGAGGTGAGTCTGGAATTTTCTGACTCAGGTACCAATATTACTTTGCCAGCCTTGGATACAACAATCCTTGATCTAGAGAAAGAGGCATTATCTGCTGCTGTGCATCTGGCATGGTTCTTGGCATGGGCAAAAATGTCAATTTCGATTTCTCATTTTTCCAGTACAGTCGTATCTTGGTTCTCGAACGCCTTGCAACTCAAACGTTTTGGCTCCTGCAAACGCCGCAAGCCTGGAAGTGAGTGTTCCAGTTTGCAAATGATCTTTGGAACCAAACGTCCAACGCGACTTCCACAGCTTCTGATTGGCTGCAGGAGCTTCCTGCAGCCAATTGGAAGCCGCGCTTTGGTTTCTAAACGTTTTGGAAGTAGAACGGACTTCCGGAATGGATTCTGTTAGACTTCTGAGGCCTGACGGTATAAAGTTTGGTTCTCCACAGTTTTACATCAGTGTGTGTGTGTGTGTGTGTGTGCACGCGCTTTAAATCCTTATGAAAATTACCAGCATTTTAGTGCAAATTTCTGCAAATATACACATTTTTGTAGGCAATTTATTTTTGCTAACATATGCATTTATATATGCACACTTTACCATAGTATATGGCCTTTCCCCCCCCCCACACACATCACTTGATTGGAGGATTGCATTGCAAAACTGAGAGAATTTTGAATTTGAAGGGTGGTTGTGTTTCAGAAACTGTGAAGTAGGCAAGCTCGCTTTTAAATGAGAACTGAATCCCATTTCTCCATCATCTCTACTGGGACCTGACCTGATGGGATCCTGATGGGATCTCATCTTCAAAACCACTATTTTCATTCCACCCAGAGCTGGCTCAACCATTAGGTGGCTCAACCACTATTTTTTTTTTTTTTTAAAGCAGCGATATACCTGAAAGTCTTTTGAAAACATGAATGTGCTAAGAGCCACTTAAACAACTGAACTCCCACAGATGGCTAAAAGTCAGTAACTTCCAGGAAAGCAGACACACATCCCCTGCCCCACAGAAGAGGTAAAGGTAAAGGGACTCCTGACCATTAGGTCCAGTCGTGACCGACTCTGGGGTTGCTGCGCTCATCTCGCTTTATTGGCTGAGGGAGCTGGCATACAGCTTCCGGGTCATGTGGCCAGCATGACTAAGCCACTTCTGGTGAACCAGAGCAGCGCACGGAAACACTGTTTACCTTCCTGCCGGAGCAGTACCTATTTATCTACTGGAACTTTGACGTGCTTTCAAACTGCTAGGTGGGCAGGAGCAGGGACTGAGCAATGGGAGCTCACCCCGTTGCGGGGATTCGAACCGCCGACCTTCTGATCGGCAAGTCCTAGGCTCTGTAGGTTAACCCACAGTGCCACCCACGTCCCACCTAAGTGGTACAGCCCCACAAAAGGGCAACCACTTGATCGTGTTGCTTGTGTGAACTGGCTTCAATAGATTTTAAACCTATGTGTAGTATGTAAAATGCAGGGTGATTCTGTGTCTCTTGAAAGCCACATGCTCATAAATGTGAATTTAGAGTGCCATATGAATTCTCTTTCCTAGTTAGCTTAATTATTCGTCGTGACTTCAAATTAGTTTGCAACTTTGAAAAATAAACATCTCGGCTTTGCCTTGGCAAGTTGTCCAAGTATATTGCTCAACTCCCCACTCTAGATTAAAAAGGTGAAGAAAAACTGTAGGCAAAAATGCTGAAGTTAAATTTCTGCTCAGGTCC